TTTCTGGACTCTCTATTCTATTTTTTGTGAGCTATATGTCTGTTCTTGTGCCAGTACCAGGCAGTTTTGAGAACAGTGGCTTTGTAATACAGCTTGATATCTGGCATTGAGATCCCGCCTACTTTGTTCTTTCTCAGGATCCTTGCAGCTATTCGGGGTCTTTTTTTATTCCAGATGAAGTTTTGGAGAGTTCGTTCTAGATCTTTGAAGAAGGCCATTGGTATTTTAATGGGAAGTGCATTGAATGTATAGATTGCTTTGGGTAGTATAGACATTTTAATGATGTTGATTCTACCAATCCAAGAACATGGTATGTTCTTCCATCTGTTTATGTCTTCCTCTATCTCTTTTTTCAACGTCCTATAGTTTTCTGAGTAGAGGTCTTTAACCTCTTTAGTTAAGTTTATTCCTAGGTATCTTAATTTTTTTGGTGCGATGGTAAATGGGATTGTTTTTCTAATCTCTCTTTCTGAAAGTTCACTATTGGTGTATAGAAATGCCTCAGATTTCTTGGGGTTAATTTTGTATCCTGCTACATTGCCAAATTCATGTATTAAGTCTAGTAGCTTTTTGATGGAGTCTCTAGGGTTTTGTATGTATAATATCATGTCATCTGCAAATAAGGACAGTTTTACTTCCTCTTTTCCAATTTGGATGCCTTTTATTTCTTCTTCTTGCCTAATTGCAATGGCTAATACTTCCAGTACTATGTTGAACAGGAGTGGTGAGAGTGGGCATCCCTGTCTTGTTCCTGTTCTTAGGGGAAATGGTGTTAGTTTTTGACCATTGAGTATGATGTTGGCTGTGGGCCTGTCATATATGGCTTTTATTATGTTGAGGTATGATCCTTCTATTCCCACCTTTCTGAGAGTTTTTATCAAAAATGGGTGTTGGATTTTGTCGAATGCTTTTTCTGCATCAATTGATATGACCATGTGGTTTTTTTCTTTCAATTTGTTTATGTGATGTATCACATTTATTGATTTACGGATGTTGTACCATCCTTGCATCTCTGGGATAAATCCTACTTGGTCATGGTGTATGATCCTTCTGATGTACTGCTGGATCCGATTTGCTAAGATTTTGTTGAGGATTTTGGCATCTATGTTCATGAGGGATATTGGCCTGTAATTCTCTTTCATTGTGATGTCTTTACCTGGTTTTGGTATTAGGGTGATGCTGGCTTCATAGAATGAGCTTGGAAGTGTTCCTTCCTCTTGAATTTTTTGTAGTAGTCTGAGGAGGGTAGGTTTTAGTTCTTCCTTGAAAGTTTGGTAAAACTCCCCTGTGAAGCCGTCTGGCCCTGGGCTTTTGTTTGCTGGAAGCTTTCTGATGACTGCTTCAATTTCTTCCATAGTTATTGGCCTATTGAGGTTTTTAGATTCTTCCTGTTTGAGTTTTGGAATGTTGTATTTTTCTAGGAATTTGTCCATTTCCTCCAGGTTGTCTAGTTTGTTGAAGTAGAGTTGCCCGTAGTATTGTTTAACAATCATTTGTATTTCTGTGGGGTCTGTTGTTATTTCGCCTCTATCATTTCTGATTTGGTTTATTTGGGACCTCTCCCTTTGCTTCTTGGTGAGCCTGGCTAGGGGTTTGTCAATCTTGTTTATCCTTTCAAAGAACCAGCTCTTGGTTTCATTGATTTTCTGTATTGTTTTTTTGGTCTCTATGTCATTGATTTCTGCTCTAATCTTTATTATCTCCTTCCTTCTGCTCACTCTGGGGTTTTCTTGTTGCTCTCTTTCTAATTCTTTGAGTTGTAGAGTTAGATGATTGACTACCATTTTTTCTTGTTTTTTGAGATAGGTATGGCTGCTTTAAATGATCTCTGAGGTTCAATGTTAAGAATGATGTTGATTGGGGTAAAGGACTCAGGCTGTTTGGTTATAGTAAGTACATTGATCCTGAGGCGCTGTCACTGATATGAGATAGGTTTTTCCAGGGACTGAAGTTAAGCCAGGGGCCCTCTTTTAATTAAAAAAAAAAAATTTATTGATTTGAGAGAGAGAGAGAGAGAGAGAGAGAGAAGGAGAGAGAGACACAGATAGAGAGACAGTCAGAGACATCGACTTGTTGTAACCACTTATTTATGTATTCATTGGTTGCTTCTTGTATGTGCCCTGACTGAGGATCGAACCCACAATCTTGGCGTATCGCAGGTGTGGGGACCTTTTCCTGCCAAGGGCCATTGGGATATTTGTAACATCTTCCGGGGGCCATACACAATTATCAACTTAAAAATTAGCCTGCTGTATGTGGTCAAACATTTAACTAACTCACCCCTGATGCCTTAATAGGGCCAGACCAAATGATTTTACTGGTCTTATATGGCCCGAGGGCTGGACGGTCCCCACCCCTGGATATCGGGACAGTGCTCTAACAAACCGAGCTACCGGGCCAGTGCCAGAGGCCCTCTTTTAGGGCATATTTGAGTGACATATTCAGGGCCACAGAGGGGACAGAAGACAACTTGAGGGAATGCTGCTGGGGAAAGGAGGGGAGAGAAGAGATGCTCTCACCATTTAAACTTGCAGAGGCCCACTTCTGCATGAGAAGGCCAGCACTAGAGTGTGGATGAGAATCAACTACTTTTCCAAGGATCCAGAGGCGTAAGGTTGCTTTTGTCCCTAGTACGGTATATTTAGCATAGTTTACTTAAAAGAGATATTCAATGAGAAAAGAACACTTGTGTTATGGGAAATCTTCATTATTTATCAGCTAATTTAATAGCGTATTTAGTTGACGCTCAAACAACATTAGTTTGAACTGCATGGGTCCACTTATATGTGGATTTTTTTTCAATAAATATATTGGAAATTTTTTTTGAGACTCGTGACAATTTGACAAAACTCACTGAATAGCCTAGAAATATTGAAAATATTAAGAAAAAGGTGCCTAACCAATGGACACAGACAACAGGGGGGTGAGGGCATGAGTAGGAGGGGATGGGGGGTAATGTGGGGATAAAGAGACATATGTAATAACTTAATCAATTAAAAAAATAAAGTAGAAATAAGCAAAAGAGAAAAAGGTATGTCATAAATGTATAAAAGATATTTGTATTTTCTCTTCCTTATAATTTTCTTAACATTTCTCTAGCTTAATTGTAGGAACACAGTATATGATATATATAACATAAAATATGTGCTAGTCAGCTGTTTATCAGCAGTAGGCTATTAGTAGTTATGTTTTTGGGGAGTCAGAAGTTACACTGGGGTTTTTGACTGTGTGGGGTCGGTGCCCCTAACCTGCATTGTTCAAGGTCAGCTGTATATGTTACCGGCGCTGTGGGCTGCAGGGACTGGATTGATAGGACTTGGTCGTCGCTGTGGGGTGTCCTCTTCTCCCTGTGAGGACTGGGCGCGGGACGGCAGGTGGTTGGCACTCAGCACAGTGTCTTCGCAGGCTGCCCTGATGGTCTCTCTCATTTGGAAGTATTACTCTGTTCCCGTGGCTGTGGTGCCCAGTAAATGGATAACCCCGCTCGACCGGCTGGTGGCGTTTCCCACTAGAGTAGCAGGTAAGAGCTTCCTGGGAAACATAGTGGGAGACTGTGGAGAGACTTAGGAGGAGGTGTGTGATAGGTTAAGTCAACCCGACACCATCCTCATCGACCATTTCACGGGGGGGGGTGTAGGGGTTTGCGTCTCAGCCTCGAAGGCTGGCTGTGAGGAAATGCAGATCCAGAGAAGTTCCTTACCTTGTCCGCTGTCACCGAAATGTTAAGTAGCAGAGCTAGAACTCAAGACACGTCTGCTTCTGGACTCTAAGCCCATCCCTGCAGTCGACAGCCTGCTTATTCAAACACTACTTCTAGTTCCCAGATTCTGCAGCCCCTTTTCAGCTCTAGGCATAGCGAGGGCATTTATGGCTCTCGGCCATTTTTTTATATGTGAATGATAATTTCTTTTGGATGATAAAAGTAGTACATGTCATTGTGGGATGACTAAAAAGAAAAGAAAAATGAAAGAAAACTCATTAGCTATGGATAACCTCTTAGACTGTGCTATATTTTTCCAGTCTTTTTCTATTTATTTTTATACAGGGGTGGGCGAAAGTAGGTTTACAGTTATGATTACATGAAACACAGTTTATTCTTGTATTATTATTTATTCTTGTATTATATATTCCATTTGAACTGTAGACTTACTTTTGCCCACCCTTGTATAGTTAAGGTTGTCTAGCTTTTTGTCCCTTTTTACTTTATATTGTAAGCCTTCTCCCATATCATTAAACTTTTCTTTATTAAGGAGTTTTGAATAGCTGTTCTTCATTTGGATGTGTCATAATTTACTAATTTTCCTGTTAAAAATTAGGTCCTAATTTTTTCTACCAAGAATAATGCTATAGCACACCTCCTTTTCAGTCAGTTTTTGGTTGTGATTTGTGATAATGCTGGAGGTGAATTACTAAATTAAAAGGAATGACTATTTCAGTTTAACCACTTCCCTCTCCCACCCCCTTTGTGGGACTCAACCTTGAGGGCAGTACTGGTGCAAGAGGCCACTCTTCCCGGCAGCCAGCAGGCCACTGGCCACTCTTGCAGCCTGTCTTCCTGTCGCTCATTGACCAGTGGGACAGGAACGGTGTGGGTAAACATTGCTTCATTTGTGACGCTCTTGGAGAAGGGAAAACCAAATAGTGTCACAGAGTGGTCTCCCAACCTACGAATATTGTAAATAATAAAGTCTGTTTCTCGGTAGAGAAGAGGAGTTCAAACCAGCGCTCATGGTTCTGTATAATTCCTGCTTAGTAAGGAAGGCAGCCCTGTGAATTAATTGAAAGTCTGATGCATTGGAACCCACGAAATACAAACTTTGTCTTAGCCCAGCACTGCTCCAAAAGAATGGAACTACTCTTACTTCCTCTAAGACAGTGGTTCCCAACCTTTTTTTGGCCACGCCCCACCTAAGCATCTCTAAAATCCTGATGCCCTTGCCCCCCGTGACATATAATTCTTATTATTCAAAAAGTGAACTCCTATTCATGTGGAGGAAGCCCAAAAGGCCATTAACTTGGTCTAAACAAGCTTCCAAAGAACATGGCATCCATAAAGAGAAAAATAAAAGAACAAAAGAAGTTGAAGTCCTGAGGAAGAAATCACTAAGAAATTGTTAAAAAAATAATAATATGAAGTGATATGAAAAAATAGCAAAGTTTCAAAACATATAATAGAGAACTGGCATAAATATGTCACAGTATGTATTTATATAGTGTATATGAGGCCCTAGAACCATAAGAAATGCAAAAGTTTCATTGTTAATAACTTATTCTCGAATTGCCCCCCTGTGGGGCGTGTGCCCCACGTTGGGAACAACTGCTGTAAGATGAAGGTAGCAGAGGCAGGGAATGTGGGCAGAACTCTTGCTGTGCTCTCACGTTGAATTTTTTAATTTTTAGGTGGTGTTGGAATCACCTGTTGGATTTTAGTCTGTAACAAAGTTGTGGCTATTATGCTTCATCCTTTCAGCTGAAAAAGAAGATGAATACAGCTCTGAGACTTTGAAAAATGAATTTTCACTTAGGTTAAAAATCTGACTTAAACTGTTTTATTGTCTTTTATTTGTTTAAGAAACAAAAGAGTGCAGGTTAGTTCTTTTGATGAACCTGTTTGTTCTTGGATTTTATGTGAGATTCTTATAAGAATTAAATTTGTACACTTGTCATTGAGGCAGAGAGGTCTGTCACGCCTCTGTACTGGCCAGCAAAGCAGCAGATTTGTGATAAGAAATGTGACATTACAGGCATCTACATGTTGTTACTTGTGATTTGCACACTTGGCATATTTTAAGTATGCTTTTTAAAAATTGATTTCAGAGATGTGAAGGGAGAGGGAGGGGGAGAGAGAAACATCAATGCTGAGAGAAAATTATCGATTGGCTGCCTCTCATGCACAAACCCTATTGGAGATCAAGTCTGAAACCTGGGCATGTGCCCTGACCAGAAATCGAACTGTGACCTGGTTCATGGGTTGACGCTCAACCACTGAGGCACACTGGCTGGGCATTCTCTTGGCATATTTTAAAGGTCACATTGCCAATTGGAAAGTCAACATTTTCTCATAATTTAAGAACTTTAAAGACTTCATACTACTTTTACTCCAGATTAGAAAGCAATTTAATGTCACTACTAGAATTTGAAAATTTGTTTTTTAATCTCATGCAGCACCACTAAGAATAACACTAACTGACATTGCCTTGCTTATCTTTGGTTTAAAATGTCATCTGTTGATCAAGCCTTTGTGGAGTATTATCTCCTTATTTGAAGCTGTTATTTTTTCATTCCCGAGTTTTATAAACGTATTTGTGAGATCATTACGCATTGTTTTGTGCTTGAATTATGTGTTTTGTACTTAAAGCATTTCAAATGCAATGTATTTATAAGCATTTAATATTTATGCTCCATAGGACGGAACAAAGTTAAACAAAGTAGGAAGCCTGATTAAATTAATTTAAATGGATACATGTTTGGTTCATAAAGTATAATGCTGCTAAATATTTTTAAAACACTTCTTTACTAATTAAAATCTTTGTAAGTGCTTGTATGACTTCCTTCCTTACAGCCACTCATTTGCTATGACCAGTCTGTAACTGACAAGTGGCAGAGGGCTTTAACCATTAACTACGTCCGCTGCAGCACCTTAAAGCCAGATGCCATCACTAGTTTTGAAAAGATCATGTTCTTGTGTTCCTTAATGACCCAGGAAGGAGCTTACTGTGCTTTCTGCTAGTTGTACCATGAAATGACAAAGCGCTGTGTTACTTCAGTTTGTCGGACTGGAGTGGTCTCAGGTTCCCTGATCGTTCAGACTTACCTGGCAGCAGGCTGACGTGGCTTTGAGGAAGGATGCAGAGCAAAGGAGCACAGCTGTTTCTACAGACAGCATCGTGAGAGCTCCGACTCCAGCTTCCACTGTCAGTCACCACAGGGCACACGTGGCCACAAGGGTGAGATGCCAACCTGACGGGGGAGATGGCAGCAGCACGAGGAGGTTGCAGGGTCCAGGGTCCGTAGAGGCCACGGTCTGATGCCCACCTGTAGTGAGCTGCAGGCAGCTGGACGGGTTGCGTAGTCTCGATGGAGCGGCCAGGTGCATATGCCCAGGGATGTCCTTGGGACACTAAGCCGTTTCAAGCCTCCCTGACAAGACCCACATTTATCTCCTAAGGATATATTCTCTCAGTTAGTACTGCAATTATGACAGATTTCACTGAGGCTAGAGGAAGAGATTTACATTTCACAGCTGTTAACGCTTTCCACATACATTAATAGTTAATGAAGATTAAATAGGAAGTTTAAATGTTCGTCATATTTCACATAATTGTTTTTATTTATTTATTTTTAATTTTTATTTTTTCTAAAAATATATTTTATTGATTTTTTACAGAGAGGAAGGGAGAGAGATAGAGAGTTAGAAACATGGATCAGCTGCCTCCTGCACATCTCCCACTGGGGATGTGCCCGCAACCCAGGTACCTGCCCTTGACCAGAATCGAACCTGGGACCCTTCAGTCCACAGGCGGACGCTCTATCCACTGAGCCAAACCGGTTTCGGCAATATAATTGTTTTTAAATAGATAATAAACTTGGTATTGCCCTAGCCAGTGTTGATCAATGATTAGTGCATTGGCCCGTGGACCTAAGGGTTTTGGGTTCAATTCCTAGTCAAGGGCATGTACCTGGGTTGCAGGTTCGTTCCCTAGGCCCAGTTGGGGTGGGTGCAGGGGGCAACCAATTGATGTGTCCCTCTCACCTTGATGTTTCTCTCTCTATCTCTACCTCTCCGCCTCCTCCTTCCCTTTCACTTTCTCTAAAAAAAAAAAAACAATGGAAAAATATCCTCAGATGAGGATTAAAAAAAACAAACATGGTACTGAATTTAAAACATAGAAAAGGATACATTTAAAAGTTCATTGGGCCGAAACAGGTTTGGCTCAGTGGATAGAGCGTTGGCCTGCGGACTGAAAGGTCCCAGGTTCGATTCCGGTCAAGGGCATGTACCTGGGTTGTGGGCACATCCCCAGTAGGAGATGTGCAGGAGGCAACTGATTGATGTTTCTCTCTCATTGATGTTTCTAACTCTCTATCTCTCTCCCTTCCTCTCTGTAAAAAATCAATAAAATATATATTTTTTAAAAAAATAAAAGTTCATTGGGGGCGGGTGTGGCGTGGAGAGGGTCAATGGGGAAACAAGGGGGACATCTGTAATACTTTCAACAATAAAGATAAATAAAAAAACCCAAAAAAACTCCTGACCCTTTTACTGTTGTGTCACCCAATTTTCTCTGTTACCAGTTTCTTATGATTCTTCCAATGATCCCATACATTTATGGATATTGATATGTGTGGTTTTAAAATAAAATTTTTAAATTATAAAAGTAGTACCTAAAAAAATAACTGGTGCTTTTTTTTTTTTTTTTAAATCCTATTTGAAGAGTCCAGAAAAGGAATGAGGAAGCAAAGTCTCCCATGATTCCACAGAACGGGTATTAATGTTTGTATATTTATGTATACTTATGGATAGCTATAGGTTTGTGTTTCTATTAAAAAATACTGGGTATAGATAGTTTTTAGCTTTAGATGAGACATCTGTTTGATTTAAAGTATCTAAAGCTCTCTTCATGCCAATTGGGTTTCCTGTATAGTAGTATTTATGGTAAATCAAGCAGGGAAATATTTCTATATACAAATCCACAATCTTTTTTTTTTTTATCCTCACCTGAGGATATTTTTCCATTGATTTTTAGGGAGAGTGTAAGGGAGTGGGAGAGAGAGAGACACATTGATTGGTTGCATATATTTTTCCATTGATTTTTAGGGAGAGTGTAAGGGAGGGGGAGAGACAGAGAGACACATTGATTGGTTGCCTCCTGAACACACCCTGACCAGGGCTGGGGATCGAGCCTGCAACCACAACACATGCCCTTGACTGGCAAACTGACTCTTCAGTCCGCAGGCCAACGCTCTATCTGCTGAGCCAAACCAGCCAGGGTGAAACAGATGCTTGTTAAACCTTTTCACTCTATTCATATCTACTAACCTATTTCCTGTCTCTGTGCTTTGATATTGATCAGAGCTTCAGATCTTTTACTCTCTTCATTCTGGTCTCCTCTGCTGTTAAGCCTGTTTGTTGAGTTAATTTAAATTATTATATGTCTTCTGAGTTGTCACAGATGCTGAATTCTTATTCTTTTTAATTCATATTTTCAAAAACTACTTTTATTTCTTCAGACATTTATTTTCTGTGTATAATTCCTAGAAGAAGTCTTTGCAGATCTGGTCCTTATATGTTATTCCTCTTGGTTCTCTTAGCACTTTGTTCTTTTTGTGTTTAACTCTGTAGGAATTTCCTGAGGCCTGAGTTGAAGATAGGTTCTTCCAGCCCGGCCGGTGTGGCTCAGTGGTTGAGCATCGACCTATGTACCAGGTCACAGTTCGATTCCCGGTCAGGGCACATGGCTGGGTTGCTGGCTCAGTCCCTGGTGTGGGGCATGTGGGAGGCAGCTGATCAATAATTCTCATCAATGAGGTTTCTATCTCCCTTCTTCTCTGAAATTTATATATAAAGGAAAACAAAAAGATAGGCTCTTGCAGAAAGGATTTGTATTTCTACTGCTCTGGGGCTACTACCAGCCTAGATCTCTTTAAACTATACTTTTAGGTTCTATCAACCAATCCAATTTCAGTCTCAAACAGGGTGAGGGTGGACTGGCCACAGTCTCTGAGTTTAAGACAATTTTCTCAGCTTATTGAGGCTCGAGGCCTGGCTGGCCAGGGTTCGTGGGAGGGACCTTCTCTTAGGCTTCTACTTGGGCTGATGGATGTTGTTCTTTGGGTTTGGCCCTGGAGGCTTTTCTGATGCTCAGTTCTCCAGTTTTGGCAAATGCCCTTTAGGCCAAAGCTGACTTCAGACACAGCCTCCCTGGGGGCCTCCTTTCACTTAGTGTTCACCAGCTGAACTGATTAAAGACATGTTTGTTCTAGAAAGGAAACCTTTGGAGCAGCGGTTGTCAACCGGTGGCACGGACCACTGGTGGTCCTTGAGGTCCAAAAGGTTGGCGACCTCCATTCTAGTTAATATATCATTTTTGGCTTTTCTATAGCAGGAGCACCAAAGTACCTTGTCAAAGTACAGGAAATGAATTTCTTCTTAAGGAATATTTTTAAAATATGTTTTAATTCTCAGTGAACAGACTAAAAGGAATTTGAAATCTTAAGAACTTCTATTAGTGAAATTTTTCCCACTTAAAATATACTGGAACTTAAAATGTTTTGTGGACCAATTCAGTCAGTCTCTTTTCTTAGTGATGCTAAGTGTTGAAAACGGGAGATGTAATCAGATTCTCGTTGCTCTCAGTAGCAGTAAAGTAAAATTGTACTTTATTCTCCAGCACTTTCTACACCCAAGTGTCTAAAGTATTTCATTTAAAGTGGTTATTATTTCCATAAGCCAAATGCTGTTTATATGTTAACATTGTTTTCTAACAATCAAATATTAACATTTATGCTTTGGTGCTTGACTTAAAAATATTTATTATAAAAAATGTTTTTATTGATTCAGAGAAAGGAAGGGAGAGGGAGAGAGAGATAGAAACATCCATGAGAGAAATATCATCAATTAGTTGCCTCCTGCACACTCCCTGCTGGGGATGGAGTCTGAAACCCAGGCTTGTGTCCTGACCGGGAATCGAACCAGTGACCTCCTGGTGCATGGGTCGACACTCAACCACTGAGCCACACTGGCCAGGATGGATCGCTTTTTATTTAAAACATCTTTCCCTCCTGATTATACAGCTATGTTCAGTATAGAAAATCATAGAAAATAAATACACTGACAATAAATTAAAAATTGACCACAATCTCCTCCCTTAGAGATAGAAGTTAGCATTTTATTATCTACTAGAGGTCCAGTGCATGAAATTTGTGCATTGGGGGGGGGGTCCCCTCAGCCCAGCCTACACCCTCTCCAATCCGGGACATCCCTCTCACAATCCTGGACCCCTGGCTTCTAATTGCTCACCTGCCTGCCTGCCTGGTTACCTCTAACTGCCCCCTCTGCCGGCCTGATTGCCCCTCACTGCCTCTGCATGCTGGCCTGATTGCCCCTAACTGTCCCCCCTGCTGGCCTGGTCACCCCTAATTGCACCCTACTGCTGGCCAGGTCACCCCCAGCTGTCCCCTCCCTGATGGCCTGGTCACTCCTTACTGACCCCCTGCTGGCCTGGTCGCTCCTCAACTGTCCCCCTCTGCCCACCTGGTCACCCCCAACTTCACCCCCCTGCCGGCCTGGTCGCCTCTAACTGTCATTGGGTCATCCCTCACTAACCCCCTCTGCCAGCCTGGTCACCCCACGCAGCCTGCTTGTTCAGTCGTTTGGTCGTTCCTCACTAACGCCCCCTGCCGGCCTAGTCACCCCATGCAGCCTGCTTATTCAGTTGTTTGGTCGTCCCTCACCCCCCTGCTGGCCTGGTTGTAGGCAGCCATCTTGTGAGGGTTAATTTACATATTACCTCTTTATTACATAGGATAATAATAAAAGTG